TTGTTCTTGTCTCTCATGTCTGGAAGCGAGGCCATTCTGTGGTTTTAACACTCAGCCCAACTGCTGTGCACTTGTTTCACCAGCGATATCATCTAACCCAGCGACTCTCGACTGGATTTTGTGCAAAGGCTCCAGTGTTTTATGAGAAAGACATACCCTATTCAGTGCACAATGAGCTATTCAGGTGCGGTGGCATTCTGGATAGCTCCAGGCCTCACCTCGCAAACGGAGGATTTGTAGGGGTAACATTTCACTTTCTCTTAGCTATGGGGAAAAGGTCAGTACTCCGGGGATGCTGGCTCCCTTTCCTGCCCAGCTAATGCTGTCGCGTCTGCTGTGCTGCCGCCGCTCATCCGTCTCAACAAATGCAGCTGATTCCAGTTACACAGTGATCCCACAGCAGGAGCGATGCGCCCACACACACACACACCCATAGCATCCACACACTACGTCCTACATTCATAATCACAGCAAAATGGAGAGCTGAGTGCCTGACCTCTTACTTACTAATCTGCTTGATGAGATTCCATTAACTCGCACTGTCCTGGATGCTCAGAGCGTGTTTTATGCCTCTTCTTTTTACAGAAACTTCAACATCTAACTGACCTGTAGACACAGATGACAGCCCGGAGTGCTGAGCAGTTAAACTGATTTATGTTGCAAGCGGCCTCGTACGGCAGCTTGACTTTATTTAAACAGCAGTGTGGGTCACTTGGAGAGGTGATGAAATCTTTCATGTCTTAGTGTAAAGAAGACCAGTGTTATTCTCAAACACTAACATTCTTGGATGCACAGGATTATCCTGCTGGCTCAGAGATGATGGGTTTCATTACATTAACTATTTCATAAATCCTGCATTCAATCAAATGGCTACAGCTTTCTAGTCCTCTCAGCGACCGTTAACAGTCGGCTTTGGAAAGAGAGCGGGTGTGCTTAAAATCTGCCGACTTACGAAACATGGTGTTGAACTGCTGCGGGTTGAGGTTCCACTTCCCCCAGGGCGTCTTGTGGCCCTTGGACTGGGCATAGTGAGCGTGGTTGAACTCTGGCTCAGTCCCAAATGAATCCAGCACCCGCAACATGCACCTGTGGAAAAACAAAACAAAAACACACAAGTTTTAATGACGGTCAGATGCACAGATGTATGCATGCATACACGTTGTGTAACATTAAACAATATCAATCACATAAATCCACCCTTGATCTTCCAGAGAACAATACACTAACAGCACAGTGCACGCAATTAAAATTACCAATTTGTTAAATTTGGAGCTTTAAAAAGCTAAAAACGGTCTTTGTCATGTCAGCGCTTGAGACACATATCATCCATGTAAGAACATGAAATCACAAATATAAATCCTCAGACTATGATACTGAGGTTTGTTCTGAAGGTGTGGCTGTGAGGGAACATCATGGCTGACTTAAAGGTCACAGTGTGGGATTAATTAGACCAAAAACCAGGGGAGGGAATTGTAAAGCACTTCCTGACCTTTAGCGAATGCACAGCACGGAGTTAATCTCCACAAACAGATATCTGCATATAAATATGGAGAATCTGTAGGAAAGAAACAGTTTTGGCCCTAGAAGCTTTCTGGTTTCCAGTTGTAGTGTGAGTCACGACTCAGCAGACTACACCTGCATGCAAGTAAACAGTCTGTGTGGAAAGCAAAAGAGGGGGGCTCACTGCTTTTATTACCTTCTTTTAAATGTATTTGCTTCAGTGTTCTCATTATAAACAATGCCTGGTACATGAAAGAAGAAGTGTTGGTTTAGATATCACGTATACATTATTTCAATATCGGGTAGCTACACAGAAGTTTCCAAAACAGCGATCATTGGTCCCAGAGGCTAAATCGAGTCAATGATACAGACTGTATAGAAAAGATGGATGTGGCCAATGTGATGTTATTCATTGGTTTTTAAGCCCGAGTTGGCATTTCAGCAAATGCCATGTCATTTATTTATTTATTTTTTTAGAGCTAAACATAAACATATTGGACGCACTCAGCTTGACAAAGCTACTTGCTAATTCAGAGAAAGCTAACGGGTCAACCACGCGAGTAAAAATAGGACAGCAGCTTCCTCGTATCAACAAAAATGAACAAACAAAAACAAAAGCATTAAAAAAAAAAACTGGTGGCTACATGCTGACTGTATTGAATTTTTTCACATTCTATGACTGATTGTAACTTGTGGTGACTACATGGTTGCCCAGAGCTTGATAGCATTGCACACTTTCGCCACTTTTAATTGCGATTTCACAGGTTGCCTGAAAGGAAACAACCTTTCTGCAATCGCTCCAGAGACGTTTTTTTATGAATGCAGACATAATTCCAACATGTAACTATCAGTCCAGATGTAATCGTAATAGCCATGTGAATCTGAGTTAAATGTGAATTTCTGTCTATGCAGACAGCAACAGATATGTGATTGTTGATGATGTATCACAGTTAATTGTTATATTATCAGAAACATGTTGCATCTAATCGCAATTCAACGGCAGATTGAAAGCAGACTGACTCCGTCTTATAGGAACACTTATGTCACATTTAGTGACAGTGTTGGTATGTCAGAAAATTTTGCAGGAAAAAAACAACTTAACTGAGAACTTAACTTTATATTAGGGCAGCACGGTTCTCCCCGTGTCCATGTGTGTTCTCTTTGGGTACTCTAGCTTCCTCACACAGTCCAAAGACACAGAGTTACTGGGGTTAGGTTAATTGGTATTTCTAAATTGCCCATAGGTGTGAACGTGAGTGCAAGTGGTATCTGTGTTAGCCCTGCAACAAACTGGTGTTACCGCAGTTACCGCAATACTAACAACAATGCAAAATGTTAAAAATTATAGTAACATTGCATTATGGGGTATTTCCACCTCTATTATTTGGGTTCATTTTTCATTAGTTAGGCATAAAAAAATCATTGAAAAACATAAAAATTAATATCAAGCTGCTAATCTTGTCCCCTCTGACTAAACCCCCCTTCCTCTTTAGACTGCTATGTTCTGGTGGATTTTCTCAGAGGTAACTAAAGTTAAGTGACTTTCACTTTTTGGTCATGGTACAAAACTCAGCATTAATAACTATGATAACAAGAAGCCAGGTGCATATATGGAAGACACACAACCACACACACACACACAGACTTTGATTCAGTCACTGATTGCCTCTCCGCCCACCCAGACGCTGTGCAGCTGGCTGTGTGAACTGTGAAACACCCTGGGAGAGTGAGGAGGTTTGAAACAGATTCGCCAAGAGGAAACTTTAAAATGAAAGCAGCACAACAACATGCCCACATGCTATCTCTAGTCACTCCAGAGGAAAACAACCCTCATCCGTCCCTGGTAGATATACCCTTAACAGATGGGGTAGTGCTGCTGGAGCTGTAAAACGGTGTAAATATGGCTGTAGCGAGGCCCGTGAGTTGTGGGCGTCATAATGTGGCAGGAGATGAGGCTGTTTAGCTGAAGAAGTATGTACTTGGTGATACTCGCTGCTTTATTTCAAGCTGGGCTATTATTGTTTTTGTTTTTTACAGTATGAGTCCGATTTCCCCATAAACACCAGCCAAATAAATAAATTATGATGATCGCTATAGTAAATGTCAGTTTTCTCTCATATCATGGTTATCTCAGATGCGACACAAACACATCCAACAAACACAGTCAGTGAAACATTTGGTCTTCAGCTGATCTATCTGACGGTCTGTTACAGGTCTGCACATGCCTGAAGCTAAACACAAGAGCTGAATGATAAACAGAGATATGAGTTAATGGTTTGTCTAATAAAAACGTGAAAATTGTAACACTCTTAACTAATTGTTATTATTTTGGGGTCCCACTGGCTGTGAACCATTAATGTTCTTTTATAATAACATAGGCTCAGTTCATCCTTTAGTTCACTGTATCCAGTAAATATTAGGCCATAAAGTAATCGCTATAACATTTCTGACATGCTAAACAAGCTACAAACTGACCTAGTAAGAAAAAAGACAACTAGTTTGATTTTAGTTTAATTTAGCTACCTGTGTTGAAGCTGTACACACAACATTACAAATGATATTAGGATAGAAAAACCAAAATGCAACGCTGTCGCCCAGTCTATAATTGTGTCCCTCGATGTTACACAGTGTTATCAGATTAAGATAACATTAGCAACCCGGTCCTGAGATAAGATTATGACCTGCAGCCAGTCTTGGTAAATTCTTGTAAGGTATATTTTGTTAGACTCAGCCTTTATTGTCTCACTCAACACAAAGTTGAGTTAGTTTGACTCAGTAAGGTCTACATTTCAAATGTTAACTGAAGTAAATGTGAAAAACCTGTTAAGTCTCGATTTAAAGACTAGATGTTTCCATAGATAGCCACTGTCAAGAATTCGTGGTGTGTGTGAACAATGCTACAATGGCACGCCAAAAATGTCAACGTCTATTACCTACATGTTTCTATTTAAGGACTTGCAAGTCATACCTCTGCACTGACACAGTAGAGAAGGTAAACAACAGCATGAGTCACAAAAAAACAAACTTGCCTACAAAAAAAAAGTTGTCAAAACAATAGAAACGGCAAAATAAATTGAACAAAGGAAGAAACAGGAAATACTTGTATCAAGACTTGAGTCTTTTGTCCCATGTCTTTCACCTCAACCCCAACCAGTTGTGGCAGATGACTGCTGTTTCTTCCTGTTAAACGGGAGTTTTTCCTTCGCACTGTTGCCAGCTGCTTGCTAACAGCAGGTAGTCTGATCGCTGCGGTTTTTTCTTTATTATTGAAAAGGTATTTACCTTACAACATAAAGTGCCTTGAAGCGACTATTGTTGTGTTTTGCTGCATTATAAATGAAATTGAATTAGATATTGTGCTTGAATAAACAGGCTGCTCCCTCGCCACAGGGCTCACTACAGCAGGTGGCTCTGCATGTCTAATTTGTCAGAGATTTAAGCTGGACTCCCTTCGTGACACAACCCCAGTGAGGAACCATGTCTCTAGCTGGAACTAAACCAGTGACCTGGAGCGAACGTGTTAACCACTAGATCCCTGGAAGCGTGTCTGATTAAGCAAGGCGATGAAAGTATTAAATTAAATTGAACGATAGGCAAACAACTGTTCTAGTTTTTACCAAGAAAATAACAACTTGGAGTATTTTCATTACAGAGTAGTATGAAACATAAAGACTGATGGCAGGAATAACAAAACAGCAATCACAAACAGCTTGGACAGACTTGTTTGCTTTGTCCCATCACACAAAAAAATATGTGTTATTATTAGAGTTTATTGCTTTTAAGAATTTGGGGTCTTAAATGAAAAAAACAAAAAAACAAATCTGGCTTCTTCTGTACATCGGGTACCTCCCTGCATGAATATAAAGAAAATAAAAGGGATTGTGGGATTCTCAGGCCTTAAAAGGAAGAGATATTATTTCCCAGACTCTAAGGTTACACTTAGTGGAAAATAACTTTTCAGCCTGCACTCCAGGTCTTCTTTCACAAAAGTGCATATGAAGTATACAGTGACACAAAGCGCTTTGACATAACTGTTCAATAATGGTGGGAGAATTAACACCAATAACATCATCTGGACCTTACATTATACCTGAGGCTAAGCCAATTTCCTCAGGGCATAAAGTGAGCGGATGCAGGTTAAAGTGTTCAGTCTCACACAAACAAAACCTGGTGACAAGCAGGAGGAACCGACAGAGCTATTACTGCCCCAGAGTTATTGTTCCTTCTTTTTTCCTGTCAGTCGGCGCTGACAGGAGGCTCTTTTCAAAACAAACCGGGAAGGCCTAATCTACAGTCCTCAGTGGAGCAGTTGGGGAGACAGAATAGAATTGGTCACAACATCATGAACAACAGACGCTCCTTGGGCCTTTTGGGAAATTGTGGCAATGTATGAGCAGAAAATAGACTCTTTGTCACAACGAGTGCCAGACAAACCTCGACCCAGCGACATGTGCCTACGTGAGGGAAGCTGCTGGCAGCCACAGTTGGCAGCAGTGGTGTCCAGATTTTTACATGAGGAAAGAGAAATGATATGAGAGCCCTCGATAGCTATACATGATATTTAACTGATAGCTATAACAAAGTAAATGACATGAAATCTAGCTGTTTAATGTGACCGATTTTATTTTCTCATTAATATTAAGCCCGCTGAGCCAACACACAAGCATGCTGTTTTATGTCTTACTTTGGGATGATTGTTAGAAATCATAATATAAGTTAGCAAGCTAGCAACTTTTAAACTTCTGAAAGTAAATATTTAACTGTAATACATCAGACATCTCTACTTATGAAGGATCGGTGCCGATATTCGGTGCCGTAATTGCACCTGTTCTGACATAAACGGTAGTAACCAGACCGAAAAGCAGCGCACATTCTGGTGCTTTATTTCGGTGTTTTTTTTCTTGAGAAGTCATACACTTTGGATTCTAGCCAATCATTTTACCTTTCCAAGGATAGTAGGCGGGCCCAGGTACGTACGTTCTTTTAGAGCAGAGCTACAGATTAAAAATGCCCAAGGCGAAGCGGTCAAAAGTCTGGCTGTACTTCACAGCAAAAGATGCAAACTCAGCAGCCTGCAACAAGAGCTTTAAGGTGATACTGTGCAAAGGAGGTAACACCTCGAATCTGAAGAAACACCTGCTGACGCATAGCGTTTTTTTTAAAAGCCGAGAAATGCGCCGTATTTGATAGCTTGCTGCAAGACCTCACACCTCACACATCTACTGTGGGTGGGTTGCCTGTTATTGGACCCGAGTTAGCAACATCCCCCAAGAACCCGAAGAGGAGAGTCCTGGCCCCCAGCCCTGTCGGTGTAGCAGAAATGATGACGGATGATATGCAGCAGCAGCCGTTCTTTTCTGGGCGAGTAGCTTAATGTTGTTCGTGTGTAATTTACGTTGAGTAGGCTAACCACGTTATTACATTAATGCATGTAAGGTGAACTAGCAAACACTGTTGTAGTTACATGCGGCTGTCTTCTTGTTTGATGGCAGATACTCCCTTCATGTTGTATCAACAGAAAAGGCTAACTTGGTTATCATTTTGCAGAAAAAAAGAGACTGCTAAAAATAAAAACATAAGAGGTTTTTGGACAAAGTTTGTCTTCTCCATTCTTTAAGCACTGGTTCGAGCACTGTTTAAGCACCGGCACCATTTCAAAAGTACCGGTTTGGCACCATTATCGGATAAAACCTAGACGATACCCATCCCTACTTATGAATGATTTTTAGAAATCACAATATATTATTTAAGGACACAAGCTAGCAAGGTAGTAAGCTAGCAGCTTTTAAATTTGTAAACTAAATATTCTACTGTAATACATGTTTTTCTCCAAGATTTCTAGTCGTGTTTGAAATAGTCTTACCATTCACAACATATAACACATATGTATACTCTGGAATGATTTTTTTTTTTTTTACAAATTATAATGCATTACTGGAAAACACTACTTAGGAAGCTAGCAGCTTCTAAACTTCTGGAGCTTAGCAAGTCAAGACATTTTAAAAGGAAATAATCTTCTTCCTTCTGGCACCTCCAAGATTATCAATCTGCCTAGGTGTACGCCAAAGGCAACCTCTAACTTGGAAGTGCCCAAAACTGCTGCAGTTCCTCTAATGTCCACTTGAGGTTGGCTAAAAGGCCCAGCTTTACTGGATTAAAAAGCATGTTTGCGACATGGTGGTGCAAAGCACTTCGGCCTTTGTAGCCAAGGATGGAACGAGCCATATGGATGTAAATCCTAGATCCAAATCCCACAGTGTTTACGTTCATGTAGAAACCTGACAGTCAACACAAGGTGATGTAGAAAATGAAGTTTAATGGCCTTCAAATGTAAAATACAAATATACTTACTGGTAGTGGACCCAGGAAGGCCCCAGAGTCTTCTTAAACTGGGTCAGACCCACGATGTCGATGTATATAAGCTCTACCACTTTATCGCCCTGCGTGGGGCAGCTGGATTTGTTTCCCATAACCTTTCGCATGATCCTGTAGAAAAAAGAAAAACAACAACTCTGATTCAGCAAATTGATCCACATGTCAAACTAGTCAGCAGGCAGCCACTGCATTTAATTTTACTAGGCAGGCCATTGATCAAAGCCAAGCACGTATACAACAGAGAAAGGAATCTGTCAAACTCAGGATTAAGGATTGTGATTTGGTTTGGAAATTTTGTCTTATCATCATCATCATCATCATCATCATCATCATCATCATCATCATCATCATCATTATAATAGAAAAAGACAAACAACTTTGTTTAGTCAGACTGCTGACAGTTCATAATGTGAGCCACTACAGGAGTTTTAAATAAGTTTACACTTTGTAAATAAGATTAATACTAATGTTAAAGGTGTTGGTTTGACTATACAGAGAATTATACCCATATAGGTGCCTTTTACTCAATTATTTATGAACGATCATCCTCCACACGAGTGTTCTTAACATCAGTCCACCTTAAATAGACAGTTTAATAATAATGATCTTACTCTTTGAGCTCATTGAGGGAAGCAGAGATGCGAATGTTGTGGCCCAGCAGGTACAATGTGGTTATGAGGTCACTCCACTGGACCAGCTCCCCCAGTGGGCCCCCACTGAAAGCATTTTCTGCAATCTTGAAGCCTGACTCCTTGGTCAGCAGACCAAGATGGACCAGGATCTGACGGAGGAGAAAATAGGAAAATAAAAAGTAAGTGCAGGAACTAATGTAGCGCAGCTTTTCATTTAGAAGATGAGAATACTTTTTAATGTTTGTGAATGTGGAATAAAAGGGCGATCATAAAGTTTATGAAAGACAGCAGTAGAGCAGGGCGATATGGCCAAAAATATTTATCACGATATATATTTGAAAATTTGCGATAACGATATAACTGACAATATAATTGATGCCAGACAAAATACAACTCCACAACATTACTAGCACAAAAAGACAACCTTCCATTTATTTTCACTTAAACAAGAAGCTGGTTTTTATGTACATTAAAGCTTTATAAAAATGTAACAGTGCAAATGCAAATTCCTTGCTGAAAGTTTAACCAAAAGGCATTTCCAGTAGAAATGGGCTGACATATCCTGAGCATAACCATGTATAATATCCACTGAAGTTAAAAAGAGGTGCTTTGCAACATTAAACTGCAGTGTGCAGTACGCATTTTTCGGACCATAAGGTGCACGGGATTATAAGGCACATTAAGCGAAACAAAGCAGTCAGATAAATCAAACTTTATTAAACTCATTCTTCTTGCTTCCTCCACTTCTGTACCATTGATTCATTAATGTTGAATTCTCCGCAGCTGCTCTATTCCCATGTTGTTGCATATATTAATGACTAACCTCATATTGTGGATGGATTATCTCAGTTGTTCTCCTGACTGAAGTTTGGTCCGTTTACACCATCCTGCCATGCGATTGCATTTGTCTCTAACTATCAGGAACCTTAACGTTAACTTTTATAAGTGGAAAAGTGTTAGTGTTCGTCCTCCAGCTTCACTGTTTATGTTATGCTAACATAGCTGTGTCGCTAGCGATCACATAGCACATCATTATATACCAGCTACAAATGTCACTGCTGTTTAGTTTCCTGTCTTCATTTATGTTGGAAGTGATAGCAGAGCTGTACGTTTGAATTTTTTCAGAAATCTCTCAGTCAGAACATGCTATATCATGCTTAGGTAACTAGCGAAACTAACGAGCTAACTTCCGCTAGCTTCCTGCTAACTTCTAACTCCGTTAAATGTAATAAATTTTGTTTTCATGGATACCTGGAAGTTAAACTTCATAGTTACACCTGGTAAAGCAGCAATGCTGATCGTTTTATTAAAGATGAAAGAAGTTTTTAACTCTCAGTGATGCTGCAGTGTTCGTTTGACCTGAAGTATACGGAGTTTAGGACCCAGATTACTTCCAGATTTAAGAGCATCTTAGTCCGACAAATACGACAATAACGACGGCCGCTTGCATGTTCTGCAAAAAAATGTGCTTTGTCGTGTATCTGACGGACAAACACCAAACCAGTTCCACATCACTGAAGTTGCACCATTTTTACAAACCAATTCTGGTTCATCTGTTTCACCCAACAATCGGCCATGTGCGCATGAAAACAAAGGCACTGCGCATGTGCGTGTTACTCATATTCTATCGCGATATTTCATTTTCCTATCGTTGCCTAACATTATACCGGTATTACCGTGAACGGTATAATATGGCCCAGCCCTAGACAGCAGTGACTGAGCCATTTCTTTCTTTCTTGTTTTGACTGTTTTGAGCCATCGTAGCCCACAAGAAGAGTGGACAAATAAAAGACACGTTACTGGTTTCCTATCTAAAATAACTGGTTAGATTATTAAGAGTGCAAAATGTTTACAGTGCTCATTATAATAAGAGGTTTTGCTGTAAAAGCAGTTCTAGTTTTTCCTATGCTGACAGGTGAGCAGTGTCACATGCTGAGAAAACGCACACAACTTAAGTAAAACATGAACACACAGGATGGTTTTCAGCTGCCGAGCGGGAACATAGTGTTCCACAGTGCGAGCTGAAAGTAATAGAAGGCTTTGTTTGAAGTGACCAACACATATTTCACTGCTGACAGCGTGAATTCCTGAACAAATCAGAAGCTGAAATTATCACGAGAAACTGTTCTTTGTTTCATTAGAGACTGAACAGATTCAACAAAGTGGGTGGAAAAAAGCAACGGCCGGGTAAGATCGTGAGATTTCTTGTTTCTTGTACTCTTGAGTTTCACATGAAGGGGACGCTGCCTCACTTCAGCACCACGGTATCAAGGGAGCACGATGTGAATTATTCAGAAGGGCCAAGGGAAGTGTGCAGTTATTCAGAGCTGGGAGCAGCTTCTAGCTTGGGACACAATGGAATATCTGTGTCAGTCCTTTCCCAGCATCAGCTCTTCTCTGAGCAGAAGTGAGGCGGTCTACAAGTGTGTCAAAGTGTGTTTGGGTGTATATCGGTATTGGTATACATAAAGGTGGTGTATTCATTTCAACTGGCTGGTTGAAAGCTAAAAAAAAAAGCTGCATCCTGCTGACTTTTAGGTAGATAAATATTAGCATTTCACTTATTCAGCTAGAATATTTTTCTGAAAAGCACCAGTCTTCCCTTTTAGCTGACTAAACTTGGGAGTTTCACTGCATACTTTGGTATTGTGCCTCCATCTTCTACATATAATACACAAACAGGACACTGAGCTCACAAAAGCTTTTCATCCATTACTCTGAACGCTGTCTAGAGGGCCTTTCCTGGCAGAGAGGAAGTGACACATTTATGTCGGAGCCTGCAGTTACTCTTTACAAAACAACTGTAGCACAAAAAACAAACAGCTTCTTTTCGTCCCTGAAAACAAAACCTGAGTGGACAAAAGCTCCGGCAAACTACATCATCCTCTGTCATGCCCACCTTCTTCTTCCGCCGCTTGCCCAGGTTCTGCTTTGCAGCCAGCGAGCGGATGGCGCTGACCCACGGCTCGGCCATGCGTTTGATTCTCAGCATCATCCAGCGGAACTCCTCCCGTTGTGACATCATCCGGTAAAGCTCTTCGAAACTGGTCCGGATCTCCGCCTGTGTGGAAACATGGACACAAGTACAGCGACTGTAATCTGATAACGTGCGCGTGTTGGTCCACAGAAAACATGAATATCAACTTCTTTAAAATCTCTCATCAAGACAGTGATTATGTTCACTTTGTTATCTGCTTCACTTGTGTTTCTTCATGGCTGCTTGGTTCTCCTGCTGCAAGAAAATCCCAAAGCAATCTTTAAAATTTTATCTAATGTAATTCAGAATTTGCAATATTGCCTTCCAAGTTGCCAAAGGCTTGTTTTCTTGGAGTGAGCTCCACTAATACAAGATCCCCAGCTCAACCCCAGCACTGTGTAGCTACGATTAAAAGGTTTATCCAAAGTGACTGAGTCTCGCATTGTATCTCCTTGGATCGGCAGATGGATTAAACGGATGGAGACAGAAAGGCGGAGCTGGTCTGCGGAATAGGGGGGTGGATGAATGACTGGTGAATCTGGGCTTTAATGTGCCCTATTTGTCCTATTATTTTTTTTTAAAAAAGAAACAAAAATCTTATACAGTGAGTTATAAGTACATATAGTGAATTGAGAAAGCACTATACTGTAGTTATGGTTACGGGAACATCAGGTGCTGAAACATTTGGAGCGCCAAGTGCTCCCTGTTACAAACAAATGTCTAAAGGGAGAAGAGGAAGAAGGCTTAACTGTGCAGGGTTTGATGATTCCCACAGAAGAGACATAAAAAGCACAAAGAAGGATCACTGCTACTTTTTTTCTGGGGGCACAGAGTTCAAGAGACGGGACATCGTCATCAACTAAATGTTTAATAAAAAGGTTGTGAAGCAAAGCGGCTCATGCTGTGAAACGTCTATCTGCATGTTAGTAATCTTGCCTCTGTTGTGAGACTGCTGACTAACTGCTAGTCAAGCTGAAGGATGGAAATAAACTTGAGGTCACAGACGGCCACGGAAAGGGAAATAGTGTAAACACATTCAAATATCACCCCGTCTCATCTGAATATGACGCTGAGCAGAGTAATGTGCTTTGTCACATCTCCCTCCGCTCTCGTCTTTCTTTCCCTTTTCCCTCTTAACCCTCAACCAGTTACAGCAGATGGCTGCCCCTCCCTGAGCCTGGATCTGCAGGAAGTTTCTTCCTGCTAGAAGCCAGTTTTTCCTTCCCACTGTCGCCAAATGCTGGTTGTCTCCAGAACGCTGAAGGGTCTTTCCCTTCCAGTATAAAGTGCCTTCAGGCGACTGTTGTTATAATTAGGTGCGATATAAACAAACCTGAATATAATTTTTAGGAAAAGAAGTGAAGCTGTGAGTGAGGCGGCACTAGTGGGAGAAAGATAGAGTGCTAAAGAGAAACCACAGTGCCATTACTAGCTGCTAAGGTGGCTGAAACAAGGTTGTAGCGAGGCATTAGCATTCCTCATCACGACAGGAAATCGCTTGCACGGACTGAAGCTATTAAAATCTGTGCCTGAATTAAAAACTCCAAAGCCTGTCAAATGGCATGTCCCCGCTACTGATGGGTCAGTACTGTTGATGCTTCCAGAGAGGGGGATGAAGAGCGCTTAATATCGATTCACCCAAAGCAGAGGAAAAGGCAGGGGGAGGGGGAAGATACAGTAGACTTTGTACAAGCCAGCAAGCAAGCTCTGTAAGTGGGATTTGACTGAGCTACCGCATTGGCACAGATGCAAGATCATTATTTCAGATTTGACCCATGGTTCCATCACTCCGGCTTTCGTCTTCTAGAGGCTAAACATACCTCGATAGCATAAGCTATCATAAGCTATCGAGGTATGTTTACAGTTCAGCTCAGCCCGTTTGCTCATTCGCTGGCTCGATTTTACTTTGATTGGTTGTAAAGGCAGCTTGAAAAGCAAACATTTTAAAATGTTAGCTATTGGTGGACAGTTTTTATTGTTATGAGACTTGCTTTCACCTGACTACCAGTTCATAGTATTTTAATGTATATTACTGTCTGCTCTGCGGCTAACGCTAAGCAACTGATATACAGTGCTGAAGAGAAAAAAAGCATTTGCCTGCTTCCTGATTTCCTGTTTTTTGCATATGTATCACACTTAAACATTTGACCACATGTGTGCTTAATTTTACTAGCCATTCATTTCAATAGAGCCTATCTGACAAAATGAGGTCAGCTAAAAGGAACAGATCATCAGTATTGGTTCAGTAACTTGCCTGAGAGTACTTCGGCAACCATGCTGGAGCAGCCAGCGATCAAACTGCCAACGTTCTGTTTAACCGATGACCTGCTCTACCTGCATACAGAAACCCCCTTATTTCTTAAAATGAAATATCCTATAAATGAAGCATAATGGAGTAGGTCTAAACATGTAAGGAAAATTAATCCTAATGATAAAACTTGCCATCACACATACAAGCATCCATGAAATCCATTCAGTTAAATGGACCACAGCTATGGCATCTGTGTTGTAATGCGACACCCGAACAACCCCGGCATAACGGTGCCTAATAGATATAGGCCGACCAAGTAGATTTTTTTTAATAGTGAGCAACTGCAACTGGTTACTCTCACACAAGCCTATTTTTATAACAACACGAGGGGTTAGTAGCGAGGGGAGACTATTATCTCTCCTGTCTGAGCAGTAGCTCGTGATGTGAGAGCCTCTGAAAGGTTCATCTCGAAGGGCAGCTGAAGTAGTTCAACAGTCCATTGTGTTTTCAGTTTACAGTTAACAGGAGATGTGTGCTGTTTTTCTCTCACCTGGCCTCTCTGGTCCATTTCTTCATTCAGGGTCTTGGCTCGCCAGGGCAGACGAGGACACCAGTTCTCCACCTACGGAAGAAGCCCAAAACACCTGTTCAGTTTACAGCTTTGTTTTTTTTAACCTTTTATCAGACATCCACCGGAACCGTAACACACACACACACACACACACACACACACACACACACACACACACACACACACACACACACAGAAATGTCAATATACAAACTTTGAGTACATTAGCACAACTCTTCACTTTACTAGAGATGTAAATGGACCCTGCTGCTGTTCACTGTTGCTAAACTTGGCCTACTAAATGCCAAGAAGCAACTGCAGGAATCCTCTCAAGTTCATATATATGTGATTATATAACACTTTTCTTCAGCTCTTTGCATTAGACAGCAACTCAAGACAATTTAAAATACTCCTCTTACTTAGAAAGCATTTAATGGATTGGCTGTACGTTTCCGGCATCATTACTGCTTTACATTCTCGACATGACAATTGTGCTACTGTTCCTCCATTTTTAGAGGTAGAAGCTTTGGCCTTCAAGCTCAACTTCTTCAGGGAAAAAAAATTCAATAAACAAAAGGTTAAACAGCAGGTGGGTGTGGCTTCTGTGTTTACGCCAAAAACTGTCTGAACATATGAAGCAGATACAACTGCTTCATATGCAGGTACGCTGGTGTGATCTGGGTGGTAAATTCTAGCTCGCAGATGAGTGGCTCCTGTTTGATGACATATATATGTTAACACCTCAGGGCAGGGATTTGGTCTTCTTCATCCAAAACAGCCACATCTTGCTGTACGCTGTGTTCGTGAGCCGCTGTTTACTTTTAATGATGTCTTCCTGTTTATTTTAGCTAGGGAGATATGTTCTAGTTTTTTGGTTTGGTACTTGATAATATATGAGGGCCATTGAAGGTTTAAAAATATTAATAAAAATAATGAATTAAGGGGGGAAAAAGCAAGAAAAACCCCATAAATGTAAAAGACTAATGGCCAAACTTGTGAGAACAAAAAACAAGACTTTATAAGGAAAAAAAATCTTAAACTTAAAAAGGAAAATCCCTGTTTTCCAAGAACAGATTTACAAGTTTATGAGAAAAGATTCTAAAATTTAGAATTGTGTTTTAATCATGTAGATTTACAACTTGTTGGATGACTGTTTTTTTGGGTGCGTGTGCGTCCCATATGACCCTTATGGACCATTGATTTGTTTGTTGTTTTGGCCCACTTCAATCTACTTTTTAACTCCTCCAGCTTTGTAAATTTACTTTCATACAAACACAACATATATCAACATATCAAGGAGTTGTCCCTGTGGCTGTTTGGGGAAGAGGACTGGTTTTCGTGCTGTGTCTCTGCCCTCCATAGACGAGGGAAAAGTACCCAACTGTTAACGCTAGAGCAACACACGGGTCTGTAGGTAGGTGAAGGTGGGACACAGCCACACAGCTGAGGATTTGCCTGATGCTGAACAACTGCCACTCTGACTGCAGTCTCCATATTCCATCCTGTTCATACGCCTGATTTAAATCACTTCTTCTTTCTCAGCAATTGCTTCTGCAGTTCCTTCCTCTTCATCCGTTTGTACATACAGATGTTTATGGAGAAGTGAAGTTTAATTATGCATTTTGCTTGTATTGGCAAAATTTGGCTCTGTACAAGTTGCGAGTGTTTACTGTCAATCAGCAACACACCACCATTAGCTAAACCCTGACCTTCTCCCGCTGACATCCATCAGGATGCGCTGCCCCTTTGCAAGGTTAATGCAGCGCTTGACACGTATGAATTATACATGGTAAAGGGTGTATGATCTGAGCTTGAATTTTTTTTCCCTCTTAGCTAAGAAGAACTGTAACACTAGAGGTGAAGAGTGAAGGATGTTAGCTTAGCAGAGAGTCTTTATAAATTCTGACAAATATTTCTGTTTGCTTCCTGCTTCCATGAATAGAAAGACGAGGTTTCTCTCAAACCTAATGGATTCCACTAATGCCCATCTCGCTTCTATTCCCATACCGACCAAGCCAGCTTTCTGCCTTCTTTACCAGTCGACCGCTTTCAGCTCATATACAAAATTCATAAGAGGCTGCTGACCTCTCTGAATCTGAAATCCTACTTTTCCCAAAAATATAACGCCTCAAAACAAAACAAACATGGAAGAGCTCTCTAGTTGAAGCTCAATTTCCAACTTTAGAATTAGTTGATGAAACAAATTTAAGGAAAACTCGTCCAAGAGAAACGAAAGGCTCGCTGATCAAACGTAATCAGCTGCTGTGATCTGCGGAAGATCTTTGAAATGAGACATCAGAGCGGAAGTTTTATGTGAAGCAAAGCTGGGTTTTTTTAGGGTTTTTTTGGGGGGGGGAATTAGAATTAAGGAAAAGATTATCTCTGTCGCTACAAAACGAGTACATGTCCGTGTTTGGGGCAAAGATAAATCATACAAAAAATTGAAGGTCTGAAAGTGTCCCTTGAAGGAACTCGTCAATAATGAATAATCCCTCCACCGTGGCTTTTTCCCCCTATTTGCCGGGACTGAAGTGAAGTCATTCTGAATCTCTTTTCATATGCTGCAAACTCATCCCTTGAAGGAGTGCCTCGCACATTACCACATCACCCCCCTCCCCACTCCCCAGCTTCCCACTGAATCATCTCCTCGTTCTCCCTCACCGTCCTCCTCAACACACTAATTTGCTCTCATGAAAAATGAAATCCCCCTTTTACCTCTACTTATTTTTAGCACTTCATTCTTTTGTGATCACTCTCAGTTTGCAGGAATGTTGTCAGGCCACTCTGGGTATGCAGTATCCATTTTTTACTGGTTGTCTGAGGTTTTTTGCAGCTCTTATCGTACTTATTGAATCCAAAGAGAACAAACCCAAAGCACAAACCAAAAATATACCGCAGAAAGAGACCATGCAAGCAGCGGGAAAATAGATCAAGCAACTGCAGGTTTCTGAAAAGAATGTAAGACTCTTCATTTTTCGAATATATGCAAAAAACAAGAATGTTTCATCACAACGTTCTTCTGCTTTTAAGGGAACCTGTTAAGCGTTTCCTTATTTTACGCAATGCCAAGCAAATCCTATTTGATACATGAGCTTTGAGACCTCTACATCATTGTGATTTTTATGACTTTTTGAGACATATATACAATAATAGTAATAATACATATAGGGCTGGGCGATATGGCCTAAAATTCATATCGCGATATAATTTGAAGCACGTGCGGTAATGATATATATCGCGATATATTCTTTTCTTCTGTATAACATATTTTCCACACTATAAGGCACGCTTAAAATCCTTTAATTTTCTCAAAAATAGAGAGTGTGCCTTATGTATGAATTCTGATTTTACTTACTGACCTCAAACCGATTTCTGCGTGCAGAAATCTGTTAAAAAATGTTTTAGTACAACTTTGGTAAGCCGCACTGCTTGATGGATTGTCAGAGCATTGCGGCTGCCGTAGTGAGGAGCTTCGCGGAGTAATCTGGGTCCAAAACGCCGTCTGCTTCAGGTCCCAAAGTCAAACGAACACTAAGAGTTAAAAACGGTCTAAATTCTTTCATCTTTAATAAAATCATCAGCATTGCTGCTTTATCGGGTGTAACAATTAAGTTTAACATCCATGAAAACAGAATTTATTAAATTTAACGGAGTTAGAAGTTAGCAGGGAGTTAGCTCGCTAGTTTACACCTAAATATTTCATACCATGTTCTGACTTAGAGATTTTTGAAACTACTTCAAACGTACAGCTCCGCTACCACTTCCAACATAAATGCTGGAAACGTTTGTAGGGTTACTGAAGTTGGACTACCTGGTATATAATGTTGTGCTACGTGATTGCTAGCGACACAGCTATGTTAGCATAACATTAGCACAGTGAAGCTGGAGGACGAACGCCAACTTTTTTTCCACTCGATAAAAGTGAACGTGAGGGATTCTGGTGGTTAGAGACAAATGCAGTCGCATAGCAGGATGCTATACACGGGCCAAACTTCAGTCAGGAGAACAACTGAGATTATTCATCCACAATACGAGGTTGGTTATTAATATAGTGCAACGACATGGGAATAGAACAGCTGCGAGAGAATTCAACATTAATGAATCAATGGTACAGAAGTGGAGGAAGCGAAGTTTTTGGCTTTCCCCATATTTCAAAAGTGCTTCATCTCTTTGCTATGCCTGTCGCCCGCCATAATTTGCAGATGATAATGGTTTTAGCTGCTGCGATGCTTTTGACCAAAACAGGTGCAGCTTGATGACATCATCAACATGCGCTATCGCGATAGAGCGGTATAGTCAAAATCTCTATCGTTGGCCAAATTTATATCATTTCTATCGTATATCGTTTATATCGCCCACCCATAAATACATATTATAATATTCAAATAAGACACAAGCACTTGCTACAGTGAGGAATACTTGTTGCACAAAAATGCTGAATGTAGCAAACATGAAACAAATGAAAACAAATTAAAACTAAATTTTTTGTTTTGCTTTATTTGTCAGTAACCACATTAGATATTTCATTTCAGGCTGTAAATAATGAAGCTGGCTCATCTACAAGGAGCCCCAGTGAGCCAAACGCTCAGAGTGTTTTAGAGACTCTGTTTCAGGCAACTTTCTTTACTTTCAGCTCTGTAGCTCTGCAGTTGCTTGCCCCGCCCACAAAATAAAATAAAATAAAATAAATAAATAAATACAATAAATCTGCCCAGAATGCTAATTTAACTAGCATTTCAAATATAAATTCTATTTTAATTTCAGTTAATTTTGTTATACCAGCACAATATAAAATAAAACTTACTTGATTGGTTTACATTCAGTTTATAACAAGCACATTTTCCTTAATGATTAGGTACTTGAACAAATAAGCCTTTGATTTTATATATTTCAGTTACATTTTACAAAAAAATGATTGCTTCATGTTTACTGAGGTTGAAAAATCATTTTTAGTGCCGTTTCAGATGGGAAGAACTGGGGGGGTTGTGCCATGAGCCAATGTAAACTAAATAAGGATTATTTTGATCTGTCAATCATGCCAAGCTATGCTGGTACAGTCCAATAATAAAAACAGAAGGCTGGAAATAGGTTCACGTATTTTTTAAAGACAGGAAAATGAGTAACTAATTTATCATTTTATATAGTTGGTAGAAAAGCACTGCATTTAAAGGAAAACTCTTTTTATTTACCCAGGTCACAATCTCTTGGGCGATGAGGAAATGAAACAATTACAGTATGCAGCTCATATGCATCTACTTCAACTTTAAAACTAACCAAAATTAACACAAGAAACCAGTTAAAACAATTACACCATGTTTAGCAGCGTATTTATTTAAAACTGTTCTGCTCGGTGGACAAACATTTATAAAATAATATGAGGATGAAGGTGATTTCTACTCATTTCTGCTTTTTACATCTGAAGGTAGGCAGATTAAAAGAAACCAGTAAAGGAGACAGTTATATATAAAAGCCAACTAATGAGAAAACATGCAGACACACAGAGACGGACACTTAGCAGCATACAGAGAACAGTGGCGTATCTGAGGTCCAATGGTGTATCTGCCATCAATAAACACAAAGCCTGTATATAAATGGTAAACAGTAACCAGCTTGTTAAGATGCTGGTCAGGCGCTCGTACACCAGTGCTGCTTTTGCCGTGTTGATTTTGTACCACATGAAAAGTAATCATGACGATGTAATACAATCAGTCTTTTTTATCTACATTTATTAACACAAAAAAGAAGGATTTACCTCGCTGAGGTAGATGAAGAAGGAGCAGGTGGATCCATCCACGCCGTAGTTGGCGTAGCAGCCGTCAGAGCGCCACATCTCCTTCATCCACTGAGAAAGAGGAGAAGACAAATGTGAGACGGGCATACTGACCCAACATAAACTTTAATGTCACACGTATATTGTAAGAGCCACAGACTGTATATAAAAGACCTCCACTGCTGAAACTACAGTGATCGTATCTGAATGAGAGGGTGATATGTTTGAGAGCAGCCTTACTAACTTTGTGGCAACTAGGGCTGCCACGATTAGTCGACTAGTCACGATTACGTCGACTATCAAAATCGTCGACGACTGATTTAATAGTCGACGAGTCGTTTGAAGCTTTGTAAGATCACAAAAGACGCAGGAATAAGTAGTAGGATTTAAGAGTGTAATAACAGACTGAAACAGAAGATGGCAGCAGTGCATGTACAAGGATGCCAGGTGCCGTTAAACCCCAAAGAAGAAGCTGTGTCCCAGAATTCATAGCGCAGCCCAGCTCAGTTTCCAACAATGGCGGCAGCTAGTTAGTCTTAATATTACTCTTATTATTCTTTCTGGGTCACAAAATAAACGTTTAGCATATTTTCAGGCGAGAATACTTTCAAAAGCGCTCCGACTTTTTCGGAGACGTCTGTCACCCACTAGCTCGATAGCTAGCCGGGGGCAAGGCTCACTAGAGCCCGTGAGAACGCCGGACTCCCGGCAAATCGTCTTCAAACCCACCGCCGTCTTTCGCTACTCAGATTAAACATATATAAGTGACTTAGATAACTTAAAATGTTATTGTTTGGCTTTTTTTTAGTAATTTATTTGTTCCTGAGTAAATCGGTTTGGCTGAGATTAAAGTTATAGTTTTTACACAGCTGAATAAACGTCAAGCAGACAGCTGATTATCAGAAGTGTGAGATGAATCGAGAATATACTCCGGTGTCCTGTTATATTTTAGATAGCAATGAGTTTATTAAACTTCACCAAAACAATCTGCAAATTTCATTAAAATTTAATAAAGCATCAACTTGTCTTTATTTTTAGTTAGCACCTTAAACACTTAAAGCTGTAAGCTACTGATAGTTATATAAGAGCAGATGCATGCTGGTGCAATAAGTTTTACGTCCAATGGATGCATGATCTGATTAGTCGACTAATCGCAAAAATAATCGGTGACTAGTCGACTATCAAAATAATCGTTTGTGGCAGCCCGAGTGGCAACTTTCATGTGTGACTGAGTGGAAATCCTTCAATGTGAAAATGTCATTCTTCACTGAAATGGAAGAATGTAGAATGTCCTCAATAAAATGTGTGGAAAGCCGGGATTGATGGAGACTCTGGATGCAGACTGCGATGAGAAACTCTTCTTCTAATTTGATGTCCGGGGGGCAGATTTCTGTGGCACTGGCATTTCTGTGGAAGTGGAAGGGCTGCTGAGCTGAGATGTGGACTGACAGCTATCCTGCTCGTAGGCTCCAATACGTCATGCATGGTGATTTGCAGTAACCTAAGGGAGCAGCGCACTGGCAAACAGAAAATCGACTATTCAAAGCGCTTCATAGTTGGGAGAACTGGCAGATGGGCTCGGAGTCGTTTGGAAGGCAAATGCATAGAGATTGCGTTACTTTAAACAATGACCAAAAAGAGTTCTGTGAGTAGGAGAAAATGTATTTTTCAGATGTTTTACTCGTGTGAAATGCCAGTTTACTGAATTTTGATCCCTTTTCTGAAAGGAAAAAGGAGTTTATGTGCAGCACTCGTGTAGATGGTGTATGTGTAAGGAAAGCTTTAGCATTTCCTCAGGCCAAGTTGGAAATTCTAACAGTACAAATGGAAGATTAGGAGTGGCTGAGCAGATGGTGTGTATGATAGTCCCCCATCAGCTTGAGGGACACAGACTCGCCAACACACAGACAAAAAACAAAACAAGACAATGGACAAGCATATGTACAGCATGTGTTATGTGTTTTATTTGAGTGTATGCACCTGTGTCTGCAACTACCCGTCTGCCCCAGAATTAAACCTGGCTGTCATCTGCTCATCCGGCCTGCAGGTACTGTACAGCAGTGTCATGTAGGAGTTTTGGGAAGTATGCATTCACAACAACAGTGATGTGTTAGTTGTTTAAAAGTGAAGGCAGCAGTGTGCCATCACAGACTGAATTAACTAGATAGAAAGCACTTTCTTATTCCCAGCTCCATCTCTTCAATCTCAGACTGTACTAGAGTAGCTATGCATGAGTTCTGCTTCGAAATAATCCTTTTTTGCTTTATGATGGACTTTGGTCCAGCCCCCTCATTTCATCCACTGTTTAAAACAAGTCATTTAAACAAACTTTCTTCTGATTGGTTGCTACTTGCAAACAGGTCTGAACAGCAGGTGGGTGGGGGTAAATGTGCTCAGGTCGGGCTGAGTGTCTGAGATGACCATATTAGGGATATCATCTCTTGGTGTTGTCATACAGAGTCAAGAGTGAACAAAAATAGTCAAACTGTGTGACGTCTGAGCCAAAAGACTTCACACACCTCACAGCTTACTCACACATTGTTGTGTTCCTAAAACCATCATGAACCATCTTTGCTCTGCGGCAGGGTCCATTATCCCCCTGAAAGATCAACGATTACCGTTTCCATGATAGGGACTGTCTTCTATCAGAACCGCCGTTAGGGTTTTTTTTTTTAGCAATTTGAGCGACAGTAACTCGTCTGCTTGATCCGACCATGACCCTGTCAGTTTTTCACAACTTTTCCTTCCTTGGACCACTTTTGATAGATACTGACCATTTCTTACTGGGAACACCCCACAAAAGCTGCAGATTTTGAGACCTGGTCGTCTACCCATCACAGTTTGGCTCCTTGTCAAACTGGCTCAAATGCTTACAGTTGCCCATTGTTTGTGCTTCTAACACTCCCTAATACATTGCCCCCATGAACAGGTGCTATGATGAAGAGATAATCAGTTATTCATGTCACCTGTCAGTCATAATGTTATGCCCGGTATCTAAACACACTGTATATACGTCATATAAGATAACATATAAGTTATCTTGTGCAAAGGATTTAAGACAAAGATGAACTTCACTGCATAACATCCTGAGTTCAAACTAAAACTTGTTATGTGTCTGAAGTCGTTGGACGCCTTGGAAAATAATATTTAGCTGTCCTGTGTACAACAGATAATTGACTAATTAACCGATTTAATTGCACTCAGTCACCAAAAAAATGCAAAGAACTCAGCTTATCAGGCTTTAGCTTCACTGACTGTGCAGGCAAGATAATTAGGTTCACACCAGATGAAAAGCATCCTCCTTCAGGACTTTAGGGGCTCTGCACTTTTGTAATAAGAGATCTTATTACAACTACATATATGCACTGAGTAATTTAATGCAAACAACTATTAAAAAAACATTCATTAATCATTCACAATTATTCGAAATACGAGCCGGTGGTGCTACTTTTAAATCTGTGTGGGTGTTTCCAGCTTCAAGCTGCATTGCAGATTTTTCCTGTAATAAAAATGCAGAGCAACAAAAGTGTTTCCCAGACCTGAGTTGACCTGAGTAACAGTTATCCCAGTCTATCTTGTGATCCAGGCAAATTTACAGAAACAGGCTCTGAGGTATGTTTTCTCTCCTTTTGTTAGCGAGTCAGAAGCGTTACCTCGTTAACAGCAACGTGTTTATAACATATGACAGATTAAAAACGTAGAGCACAAACTACAAGGCTCATTATATATGAGATGACTGATGTTGTGTGGTGCTGAAAAGAAGCTGAGGGAATCGGTTGCGATCGGTGTGACATGTGGGTTACATAAATGGTTCTTCAGTGCATCACCATTTCAATCAAAACAGCATCATTACTAACTGACCTCAAATACCTGGGCCACCCATAAATTAACACACAGGTAGGTATGCAGAATGTAACCTGTGCCTCTTAAGGCCATGATCTGGCAGGAAACACTGAGAGTATTCACAGGAATACTCCACAGGCTACTTTTAAATAATAATAAAAAATACTACAGGAACATTAATAAAGATTACGTAGTTTTTGTGCTGATGAAAATAAGGCGTTATGATGGTGTGCATGTTAATTAATGTCCAACCTAACAAACTTCAGACCTGCAGCTCAGAGTTTTATTGGCCCTAAAATTACACCTTTTATTTTTATATTTTGAATATTAATGCAATTTAATAAACTAATTAACGCCCTTGCATCAACTCTTTTTGTCCACTGTCCATGTAAAAGCTATAAGCCAGATGCTGGTTATGTTTTGTAGATTACACTGTCATTTGTTTTCTTTTCTGTTCGCTATGAATTTCTGCAGGCAGTTCTCCTTTCAGTAGCTCGTCTTTCACATGTTTCAAACCTCCTTTTCAAAGCTGTGCTCAGAGAGTGGGATGGAGAGGACTGTTTTTAATGTGTGTTTGCATGTTTGCTTCACCTTGAGCTTGCCCTCGCAGTGAGGGAAACCATCCAAAGGCGGCAGCTCGCACTTCTCCTGGGCTCCGTTTAGGAGGTCTGGATAAAGAGAAAGAGAGAGAAACTAAATCAATAAGGTCGAGTCAGTCAGCTCCAGAATTCTTTATCTGTCTGCGTGGGTTTTTTTGTTTTGTTTTACTGGATACATCACTATTACAGTGGATATAATAGAGACACAAATATTAACATCTGCAGTTCACACTGATGGTCTGAATTGTGAGGGGAAATGAAGCATGTGTGGAGTACACAAGGCCCACACACAACCGTGTCACACATTTATCTTTCTAGCTCCAATCACACTGTCAACACCTTCTTTATTTCCCCTTCTGTTGACTGCTAACTAGTTTACATTATAATACTTACAATAAACATGTACTATGTAGGTCATTAGGGCTATTGTGTGCGACTGCCTACATTCTGAATGACCTATCAGATGTCTTTACAACACACAAAGAATTTTAAATGCAAACACGTGAATACAAAATCTGTTTTTATTTTTGATCTTGTTGATGTTTATCCACTACTTCTTATCCTTAGGCTGTAATAACTGGCAATGCAATCGCAACAATTTCTGCTACTGCTATTCTGCAGAACACGATGGTAACTGTGACGATACAACTTTAAACAGATGCTAAGTGATACAAGAAAGAAAGCAGTAAAGATACAAAAGAGTGTAGGAAATGTTTAGATGTGATGCTCCACGGACAAGAAGCATCATACAGGGAGTGCAGAATTATTAGGCAAATGAGTATTTTGTCCACATCATCCTCTTCATGCATGTTGTCTTACTCCAAGCTGTATAGGCTCGAAAGCCTACTACCAATTAAGCATATTAGGTGATGTGCATCTCTGTAATGAGAAGGGGTGTGGTCTAATGACATCAACACCCTATATCAGGTGTGCATAATTATTAGGCAACGTCCTTTCCTTTGGCAAAATGGGTCAAAAGAAGGACTTGACAGGCTCAGAAAAGTCAAAAATAGTGAGATATCTTGCAGAGGGATGCAGCAGTCTCAAAATTGCAAAGCTTCTGAAGCGTGATCATCGAACAATCAAGCGTTTCATTCAAAATAGTCAACAGGGTCGCAAGAAGCGTGTGGAAAAACCAAGGCGCAAAATAACTGCCCATGAACTGAGAAAAGTCAAGCGTGCAGCTGCCAAGATGCCACTTGCCACCAGTTTGGCCATATTTCAGAGCTGCAACATCACTGGAGTGCCCAAAAGCACAAGGTGTGCAATACTCAGAGACATGGCCAAGGTAAGAAAGGCTGAAAGACGACCACCACTGAACAAGACACACAAGCTGAAACGTCAAGACTGGGCCAAGAAATATCTCAAGACTGGTTTTTCTAAGGTTTTATGGACTGATGAAATGAGAGTGAGTCTTGATGGGCCAGATGGATGGGCCCGTGGCTGGATTGGTAAAGGGCAGAGAGCTCCAGTCCGACTCAGACGCCAGCAAGGTGGAGGTGGAGTACTGGTTTGGGCTGGTATCATCAAAGATGAGCTTGTGGGGCCTTTTCGGTTGAGGATGGAGTCAAGCTCAACTCCCAGTCCTACTGCCAGTTTCTGGAAGACACCTTCTTCAAGCAGTGGTACAGGAAGAAGTCTGCATCCTTCAAGAAAAACATGATTTTCATGCGAATGTGAGATTTACAAGGAGGGAAAACAGTACACCTCTCTGAACAGTGTCTGGGAGGCTGTGGTTGCTGCTGCACGCAATGTTGATGGTGAACAGATCAAAACACTGACAGAATCCATGGATGGCAGGCTTTTGAGTGTCCTTGCAAAGAAAGGTGGCTATATTGGTCGCTGATTTGTTTTTGTTTTGTTTTTGAATGTCAGAAATGTATATTTGTGAATGTGGAGATGTTATATTGGTTTCACTGGTAAAAATAAATAATTGAAATGGGTATATATTTGTTTTTTGTTAAGTTGCCTAATAATTATGCACAGTAATAGTCACCTGCACACACAGATATCCCCCTAAAATAGCTAAAACTAAAAACAAACTAAAAACTACTTCCAAAACATTCAGCTTTGATATTAATGAGTTTTTTGGGTTCATTGAGAACATGGTTGTTGTTCAATAATAAAATTATTCCTCAAAAATACAACTTGCCTAATAATTCTGCACTCCCTGTATATTAGAGCAATAACAAACAATGTTTAAATTCAAAAAGCTTTGCTTTGGTTAAATGTCACCTCTTGTGCTTCTTCTTATTTTCTGTCACATATAGTAGTTAATCATTAAACCTGCCCAAAATGAGGTGGGTGTGTGAAAAACTCCCTTTTAACAGAAAGAAACATCCAGCAGGACCAGGGTCGGGGAGGGGCAAACATCTGCTACGACCTGCTGGCGTTGTGTGGCGAGGGAGAAGACACAGGGGCAATGGCAATTTTACTTATACAACATTGAATCCTCCAGCCTACATGTCAAAGCATCCTTGGGCAACATGCTGAACCCTTGAGCTGCCCTGTCTTAAGGTGATTACAAAGACAGGACTGCAAAATGTGTGTGACTTTGTGAGTGAAGCTTGTGGTAACAAGCCAGTAACCAGCTGTTCAAGCCTTTTCTGTACAAAAGGTGGCCAATCAGAAGAAAGATGGCTGAAAGTGAGCTTGTTTCAAGCTGAGTGTCTGCAACAAGGCCCAGGATAACAAACTAGGATTATTATGAACCATGGTCTGTGCAAAGGTACCTTTGTAGAGTCCAATGTAAACATCAAACTGGAAAGGAGGGCCCACAAAGGTACTTTAAAGTTATTTTCTGCAAATTGAAGACAACAGCATCTGCTTGACGACTCGAGAGCTTCGTCTTTGTGTCTGTAATTTCAAAGTAGGAACTCATCACATCGTTTCATTTGAAATTGATTAAGACAGAGGAGCGAATAAGAAAAATACCTGAAAGTGCTTTGAGGCTGTGCGTTAAAAGAATTTGCCACAACATGAAGTTGTACTCGCTCCTGCTCCAAATAAAACAAGAGATCACAAGGGTTGATTTTTACTTTAACTAAACTGGAAGTTTTGCACAAGTATTTATGCCCATGACATGAGTCATCAGACAATGTGACAAGAATTGCATTAGACCTATTGCGCAGTGTGAAATGAAATAAAATTACACAATCATCCCAGTGCAGAACACTCTCAGCACTTTATGTCTGGATGTCTTTTGAATTTGCAAATGGAGACTGGCCATTACCCTGCGGTCAGGGATGATGGTCATCCGATAGCATCACCTTCGGCTCTGTAGTCTTAACTCCATAAAAACGAAAAACCACACAAGGGCAAGAGCTGCACCAGCTGAAGCTGCAGTGATGCAAACAGTAGAAGAATAAAAACCAGAAGCTGCAGCTGGAGGAGAGAGCTCCTGTGAGATCTCCTCCACACTGATTTGAATGTCCCTGCAGGATTGACGTGCATGGCCCGCACGGCTCCCAGTCTTATAATCATCTTTTCTGATATCGTCATTCAGAGTCGTCATCCGCCCTGACCTTTAGTGCCAGGATATAAATAATGGAAGGCAAATGGATAAAAAGCTCAGAGGTGAATGCCAGGCTGACGTAATGAGTTTGCGAGTGGTGTTTTAAGAGGAGGCTGCGTGCCGTTATGGAGGCGTATGCATGGAGCTAATCAGCAGCTCCAGCAGTGGGTCAGGCTTCTGTGGGTGGAAAGGGGGAAGGCGGAGTAGAGGCTCAGTTTATTTGCACTGACAAATTGCCGCAATAAACAACTGCTATCAATAACTTTCTCTCTGTCTACCTCTTTCTGTTGCTCAGTGTGTGTTTTCAGAGGAATGAGCGTCATCATATCAAAGAACACCTCAACAGTTAGATGCAGATCTACAGAAACGTTACATTCGTTGCCTTAGTCATTACCCAGGAATGCAAAAGAGGAGGTTTCGAGTACGCAACAGATTTGAACCGGTCGAGTCAGCATGACATACCATTAGCTTCTTTTCAGGTTTGCGTTTTATCTTCTGTAAGCTATTAACCAATAAAACGCTTGTTGGCAGTAAAGCTGAGCGCTTCGCTATAAAGGTGGTGTGTTTTTAATTATTCCCCATTTTCTCTCTTTAAGCAAACTTCCTCTCTTACTGCAGTCCCAATTCACCATCCACATATACACACTGGTTGCAGCTATCCACTGCCATGCTGCTATATGTTTGGATGCAGAGGTCTATACACCAGGGTTGTCATGATCCTGAAATTTTAAACTTGATATCAATACTGGAAAATATTTATTAAAATACAGCAAAGAAGTCAAATCTCAAAAAAGTTAACAATCAGCAATTGTATGGTCACAAGAAAATCAAACCTGTTTGCGCAAACACAAAGATGGAAATGAAAAAGACAAAGTAGCACAGAAGTGCAATGTTTGATCTGGACACAAGTGATGGAGGACCATCTGGTAGAACTTTGGCAAGCCTTTTCGGTGTGTGTGTGTGTGTGTGTGTGTGTGTGTGTGTGTGTGTGTGTGTGTGTGTGTGTGTGTGGGAGAGCAAGAGACAGATTTTGTGTTATAAAATCTGTCTCTTGCACTGTGCATCCATACCACTTCATGTTGTGGACGCACAGTGTGAGCACTCAGGTTGCATCAGAGCATGGGGCTGTATAGTGTGAGACCCTGCATCGTGACCTACGAACTTCTAACCCCTGCTATTCAACCGTATAGTTTGAGCAGGAGCTGAATATAGGACTGAGAAGAAAAAAAAATCGCAGTGTGTGCCCAGCTTAAGCAGATCTGACCAATAAGACTGTGGCATTTGATAACAAGTGCGCTCATAGGTAAAAACATGTCACAGTAATGAATGTATAAATAGTAAAATAATGCTATTTTACCTCGACACACAGCAAGATGCTAGTGTGGGTCAATTGGCTCATCATTGCTTGATGTCAACTTCAAGTCCCCCCCCTTAGTTATGCTGTATTATAATAAAGTATAAAGTAATTATAATAAAGATAATAATTATAACCCAGAGCGCTCCCTGACAAATACTGAACTGGTAACGATATACAGTAACTATACTCAGGTAGAAG